TTGGTAACTTAATGAATGAACCCAATACAAGTCAAATTGGGCAATTGGAATGGATACAATACTAGTCTAAACTAAAGTGTTAGCACTGAAAAATCCTCTCTGAGCTTGATGGGACCTATATCTGAGTAAAAAAGAGTAGGATTGTACTGTTCAAATCCAAATAATCTAAGATTGAATTGAAGGGTTTTAGGGTGTTTGTGAGAGTTTCTTTTAAAACAACTCTTCTTTAAAGCTCTGAATTACTTTGACTACACCAGCATCCCATCCTCACGAGTATATTTCACTGATTACTCTCCCTTTACATGCACTATTTTTACCATCCACTTTTGGCTACTGAAAACCTTTTGTGATATTCATACAACATGTAAAATTAGTGTGACAGTTTCCATTCTGGTCACTAAATGTAAGCCATGAAGCAGGTCTCTATAGATTCAGGGCAGCAGAAAATGTACCAAGTCAACATTTCCAGAAGACTTACATTACTCCTTGCAGGATGGTATGTAAGCAAGCCCCAGATGAGTGCAAAAGGCCCGTTTTCCTATGAACATCCCTAGCCCTGGAGACTGTTCTCTGGACAAGCTTATTTTAGAGCTGCTCACCAGTATGCAAGCTATGTGGGCTTGGCAAGTTTAACTTGGAGCAAGCCACAAGGTTTACCTCTCTGATCAAATGTGGGTAAGGCGACCAGGGTGAGGGGAGGAAGGCTCATCACTCCAAAACAGCAAGCCCGTCTACTCATGCCACCCAACAGCTGCACTCTTTCAGTACCTCGAAACCAAATGGACACTTCCCCCACCACAACTTGCAGCAGCAAGAATAGCTTTCTGGAAGTTCTCAACATTTGGCCTCCATGACCTGTTTCAAAGAAAGCACTCCCTTTTTAGTTCTCAGCTACATTCAAAGCCATCCTTGTGCACCATGGAGGCCAAAGAGTGGGTTTTTGTGCCACTCAAGTTTAAGCTCCCAAAAACTGCAGCTTGTTTCAAGTGATCTCTCAGCTTCACATTCTGATTTTGCAGTGCTTGCTCACCTGATGCTCAATATATTTCTGGACACACATAAGAGCCATTGCCATGCACATGTAAAAACCTAGATGGAATTGGACAAGCCTCAAATGTATGAACATACCGGGAGAAATTTCAAAGACAAAGAAATCATAAGCAAAATGAGATGTCTGCTGACCCAACCATTAGCAGAAAAAGAGATGACGCACAGGCAGTCACAGACCAGTTCACATGGATCAACTGTCTCAAAATGTCAGTAGAGGTAGCATGTCTAGGAAAACTGATCAATGACACCAGGGATTTGGGAAGCTGGGGGAATCTAGAAAAATGCCCTGAAGGTGCATCTGTGTCTCCAAAAATAAGCAAGTCAGGATCTGACTAGCACATTCAGATACGCTTGCACTGGCACCGCGGGGATTCCTGGAGAACAGGCAGCTCGTGGGTGCCCCCAGAGTGTTTGGCTGCCGTCAAATGCAGGGTGTGCTACCATGGGTCAATCGCAGCCTCTGCCCCGACTCTCATGAGGGCCTCAGGAGGTTCTGCACGGCAGCTTTATCAGTACCACAGATACTCTGCACTTCTTTTGCTGCACTTTGCACATGGCATGCTTGCCATCCTCACATGGGAGAAGCCATTATTCAGTGACAGAACTTCGCTTGCATAAGTCCCTGCTTGGCATCCTAGCGTCACCAGCTGAAGGACTGGCAAGGTCCAGGACCCTGGAGAGCGCTTGGGCTCCAGCGAGCGTGGGATAATACATTAGGTGGGCCTGTATTCCGACTCAGCAAAAGGCTGCACCATCTATTCAAGCAAATCAGAAGTCAAACAGCCACTGCCATAAATAATCTGCTTGATGCCGATAAAAAATGTGGAAGCCTTCGATAAATATGCTAATATATGTTCATAACTATATATATATATATATATATATATATATATATATATCTAGATGCATATATAGTTCTGCATATATACACTCCTCTAGGAGAGCTAAAGCCATTAAAAAAGAAATGCTGGAATCCCCAGAATTCCGCTGTCCTTCACCCTGATGTCCTTGAGAAGCACACTGGCTCAAGTTGTATGTTGCCCAGCACAGAACCAAGATATAACCATACACAAATCACTGGCCTGGCCTTCATTTTCTCACTCACTCACGCACAGGAAGACATAGGAGGCCACATTCATTACCTCTGAGAGCTATGATTTTAGCACTCTGGTTTCACAATCACCTGCTCCATACCTCACTAAACCTACAGTAATTAAAGACCTCAAGCACAAACTCTGCATGCTAGGTGTTTATTATGCTCATAAATCAGTTCCTTTCTCACCCAGCTTCCTATCAGAATTTCAGAGGTTTTCTAACTGGCACAGACATAGAATTAAAAATTAAAATGCCAAGGTTTAAAAGATACAAAGATTCTGCATCAGGTGAGCAGAATGTCAGTGAGCTCCACAGTTCCCATCCTGAGTAAAGACCACCATCTCATTCTCTCACATGGCTATCACCTACAAGAAAGACTGCAAAGATGGATACTGAAATCCCCAATCTTGCTCTGAATCAGGAGTGGCGGCAGCTCTCCTTACAATCTTGGACTGTTTAAGTTGCAGTTTTACAAACCCAACAAAGGACCTCTTGCTAAAGAAATGAGCACAAAAGAAGGTTCAGGTTTTCAAGGGAAGAACTTGGACCACACAAGAAGAGGTCCTAGCTCTGGAATGGTAAAAGTTTTAATCTTGGTGAGCTTGGCGAGGCCCCTTCTCATTGGGCAACGAGGAATGTTCTCCTGATGGAGCTTTTGCTGAACAGGTTAACAACTTGTTTCTATAGAGTGTTAGGTGAAATCAGTGAACTTAGACACACCTCATTGCACAAGATCAGGCTCTAAATAGCCCAACAAGCACTCTTAAGCAGGCACTGTTTCCATTTGTTCAGAAAACAACTCTCTTTTACTAAGTCTGTTTTCTCTCTAGGGCTGTGTTACAGTTCAAACCTTTCCCCTTTCTCTTCCCATAATCAAATATGGAAAACCACAACAGAACAGCCCTCATGCTTAGCAACCTTTCCTTTATTCACCTAACCCAGGGGTCAGCAACCCGCGGCTCCGGAGCTGCACGTGGCTCTTGAACCCCCCTGCTGCGGCTCCGTCGCTCAAAATGCACGCCGGCACAGCCGCTGATCTGCTCACTCGAAGCTCCACTCAGGAACCCTAGTTAAGTAAGTCAGCTAGTTAAGTAAATCACTACATTTCTCTGCTAAACAAGCTTCCTGCAGGCTCTCATGCTGCTGAAAAGATCCTTTTTGTCCCAATGTAATCTCCTTCATCTGAATGTTAAAAGCTGCACTTGGGACCTGTCACAATTCACAGCACTTGACTGTTTATCTGCTAATCAGTCACTAAACACACCTATATCTCCGGCACAGCCTCCGACCCTGCCGATTTACTGAGCTCCCCCCCCCGCCCCATCCAACCATGGATAAATCGAAGAAAAGTTTCTGAAGAAAACCAAACGTTTAATGGTACGTGGGTAGATTCATTTGCTTTTACTGCTGACGAACTTATGGGGGTTGCTGTTTAATGCATGCAGCCCTTTAGCACTGACTCTGACTCTTCAGGAGGCTGTTCTCCTATTCAAAATATCTAAAAGGAGTCCTACTAGTTTATAATGTAAGATTAAAAATAACAGTTTTTAGTGACCGAACAAGAGCTGCAGCTAAATCATAACGAAGATATACATAGCATTAAGGTAAAAAAACGATATACGCAGTGTTATCTTCATTTTAGATTTCAAAAGGGTTTAGCGGCTCCCGGTGTTTTCTTTTGTGTGGGAAACAGGTCCAAATGGCTCTTTGAGTGTTAAAGGTTGCCGACCCCTGACCTAACCAATCCCAAGAAAGCAGCCCGGTAGAAGCCAGGTGGAAGTTTCCCAATCAGGAAGGAACGGTAGAGAGGATGATGATATGCTTAGAACACTCTAAGCTGCGTTAAGCATCAGCCCTAACACGGGCAGGCACAGCCCAACAAAAAGCGGGGAATCTGAGGCATGCACCAGAAACAAAGCAAGTGCACTGGGGAGAGGGGAGAAGAGAGAGAGGACCAACCAACCCACAGAGGGAAGATGTATCCCTCAAGAGGAAGGTGAGAAAGGAAGGGAGTTTGAATGCCACCCTTGCACTGAAGGGGCAGAGCGCGAATGCACCCCCATTAGGAGCAGGAAGTTAAGAGGATATGTGAGAAGGGCCTCCTCCCCGGCAAGTTTCATCTGAAAGCAGTTTGGGTGTAAAAGAGGAACATGGGAAACAAGTGACCACAAGCACCCCCAGCGCTTTCTGAGGTGGAAACGGAAGCAATCCATCTTGTTACCCAACCTGACATCAGCCTGACACTTAACCTGACATCACCAGACAGAAAACGTTCCCATGGGCAAGTCCATGACGAGGTAAGGGAGAGAGAAACCCCCGCCATCCCTGAAAGGGCAGCGAGGGTGGGGAACCGGCTTTCCTCTGCGGAGGAGGGCCACAAGCTGCGGACCTTGGCAAGCGGGCTCCGGGGTTCAGGGGTCTCTGCCCTTCCGCAACAGCCCAACGACTGCCCTGGCCGCCTCAACCGCGGACTTCTCGGGGCGGGGACCTGCGCGCAAAGGGGGCCACGGGAGAGGAGGGATCGGCGTCTCCGGACGCCCCGGGACCAGGCCTAGCGTCCCGGCTGCGATCCTCGGAGCCTCCGCGGAAGCAAACCCCGCGGGTTCCCGGAGTTCGCCCGAGCATGTGCCCGACGCAAGCACGGCGGGGGGGGGGTGAGGAAGGGCCCGGCGAGCCAGGGACAAGCGCGACCCGCAACCGTCGAGAGCGAGGCTCGGGTTTTCTGCGCTGCGGCCAAGCCCTCGCCGGGACGCGGCACTCCGAGCGCCCCCGGTATGTCCCTTCGCGGCCCCGCCCTCCCTCCCTCCCTCCCTCCCTCCCTCCCTCCACGGCCCTCGGCGGCCGCCGCTGCTCACCCATCGCCGCCTCCGGCCCCGGCCCCGGCCCCGCCGGCCGCCTCGCCTCTCCCCACCAGCTCGGCGCCCGACTCCGCCGCCTACCGACGGACGTGACGCGGCACCACGGAAGCCGCGCGGGATTGGCCGCGGCGAGGAGGCGGAGGGCGGGGCCCGGAAGCGGCGCGCGCGAGGCCCGCCCCGCCCCGCCCCTGCCGTCGCACGTGAGCCCGCTCGGGGCGGCGCCTCAGGGGCGCGCCGCGCTTCCGGCCGCCGGCCGCGCTTCCCGTCCCGCTGCCCCGGCGCTCCGGAGCCGGGCCTGGGCCGAGCGGGGCCCCGAGAGGCGGGGTCCGGAAGCTGCTGGAGCAGCAGCGGGGAGGGCGGCGCGGCGCCCGGGCCTCCGCGGCCCTCTCCGGCGAGCGGCCGGGCAGGGCCGGGGGCGAGGAAAGCCCGTCGCACGGCGGTGAGTTCCGCGCGAGGGCCGGAGCCCAGCTTTGCCGGGCCGAGGAACGGGGACGCCACGGGGTGGCCGCCTGTAGCCGAGAGCAGCGCCGGGGGCGGCAGACTGGGCTTCGTGCGCCAGGCGGACCTCCCTGCGGGTGGCTGTCGGATAACGGCGAGGCGCAGGGTCAAGTTAGCCCGTTCTAGCAGCTTGGGCAGGGAAAAACGGTACGGTGCAGATAAGGATACTAAATAAAGGTAAATTCTGGAGCTGAATTCCCCTCCAGTGAGGGGAGTGAGGGCACTTTGCAAACTTGTACCTGCTCCATTGGGGTGGAGAAGGAAACCTGTTAATGCTTGCTGTCGTGAAGGTTAGTCGTGTGTGCACCATGTCTCTGTGGCAGAGGAGATCCTCACAAGACAGCAGCCGGTTTGGCTGGCCACCTGCGGAAGTAAAGCCAAGCTGGTATGGAGAGTGCTGTCTGCTGTGTGCTCAGTGGCAGCTGATACCTGTGACTTGTCAACCCAAGACATTTCAGTCCAGTTCCCCTCCTGTGCCAGGGATGCCCTGCACATGTGCTAGGCAAGCCTGCTGGCTCAGCAAGAAGAGCCGCTTACAGTGCCTGGTGCAAGGCGGGAACAGTGCTGTGCAGTGCGGTGAGACAGTAGTGGGAGGGGATACCCTCCCCTGGACTGCTTCCCTTTACCACTACATAGAGCAGCTCGCTTTGCTACAACAACCCTGCTTGTTTCTCTTAAGGCCCAAGAGATTTCTTCCAAGGCAGTGCAAAGCAGCTCTACAGTCCTTAAGTTCTACAGCAGCTCACCAGAACTGGAAGGACTAGAGAGATACAGAAAGGGCCACACTCCCCTCTCATATGTTGTCCTCCTCAGCAAGGATGTCCACAGCTTAATGACCTTTTTCCAATATAGAGCTCTCATTAGAATCATGTTACTGACGATTTACAGTAAGTTCCTTGCGCATGAGTTGCACCACTTGTACCTGGGATTGCATTTCCTCCCTGCCAATAAAAAGCTACTTTGCAGCCTGTCCTTACTCTGGTGTAAGACCCATTTCTTTCTACCCAGGAAAGTTTGTCCCAGTTATCCCAAATGGAATTCCCCCCCCCCCACCTCTTCCACTTTCAGTTTAAGAAGGGGGCAGGACACAAAGCCCATCCAGCTTAAACTTCAGAAACAAAGGCAGGACCATCTAGTCAGCCACTTCCCACACCAACCCAACCCACGATATTGCCACAATCAGAGTGCAGCAGGGGCATCACATACAGCTCACTGTAATGGAAATCCCCTGAATAATGCAGGACTTGTACAGTGGATGACTATCAAAATCCCTGTAATATCTAACCTGTTGGACAAGGGTGAACATAAATTCCAGAAAGGCCAGTGCTGAGGCCAGATCAGCACTGTTTCTGGATGGGTGTGCTTGGATCATCTGTGAATCCATCTACAGATCCATCTGTAGCTCCTTGTTTACTTCAACAGTTGACTCATTTAGGGCACTTCACATGCACTGATGTGGCTACAAAAAGGGCAAATGCTATTTTAGGCTGCATTAACAGAAGTACCACATCCAAATCACAAGAAGTACTAGTTCCCCTTTAGGCAACACTGATTGGGCCTCATCTGGAGTACTGTGGCCAGTTCTGGGCACCATGGTGTAAGAAAGATGCAGACGAGCTGGGAAGGGTTCAGAGGAGGGCAGCAAGGATGATCCCAGGGACCTATGAGAAAAGATTGACAAAATCGGACATGTTTAGCTTTGAGAAGACTGAGAGGAGATACGATAGCACTCTTGAGATACCGGAAAGCCTGTCACAAAGAGGAAAGGTCACGTTCTCTTCTCAATCATCCCAGAGTGCAGGCGTAGAATACAAGGCTCAAGTTACAAAAAGCCAGATTCTTGCTGGACATCAGCAAGAATTTCCTGTTAGTAAGCACAACAGGCAGCCAATTACCTAGGGAGACTGTGAGCTCCCTTACACACTAGAGGTATTCAAGATGCAACTGGACAGCCATCTGAGAGGGACAGTTTAGCACAATGCCCCTTCCAGCTCTGCCGTTCTATGATTCCATGACTCATTTTACTCTCACCTACCAAAGCTGCCCTCATGCCCCCCCTTGCGCATGCACCACACACACATGTGCTACACTCCATTTCATGCATCTAATGAAATGGATTCTTGCCCAAAAAAGTAAAGGACACAATAGATACGCTGGTCTTTTGCATTCCCCAAACCCTTTTCCTTAGTACAACAGGAACTAGCACAGTCATCCACATTCCTATCTCCATTTGATGATTTCAGAACCAAAAAACTAAATCGGCAGGCATCTGTGATGCAAGCCATTATTCTCATGACAAAACAGCTTCACAATACACAGCAGCCCCCTTCTTTGGTGAACTGGAAGACCTGTCACAAAGTGGACTGTAGCTGCCAAACACTGCTATGTGCATTGCTGTGCGGTTGTGAGAGGCTAGGCTGGTCCACCACACTTTGCCAGTGCTCCTTTTCCCATCACTTCAAAAAGAAACGTGGAGATGTTTTACACAAATAGCCCCGAAATAAACAGCAGCTAAGTTTGACAAATGCCAAGTCCTTCACTTAGGAAAAAGAACCCAAATGCATCCATACAAGATGGGGAATAGTGGCTCAACAAAACTGAACAAGATTTCAGAGTAATTGTGGATAGTAGGCTAAATATGTGCCAACAAAAGGTCAAATGCTGTTTTGGGATACGTTAATGGAAGTATTACTTCCAAATCACAAGTAGGAATAGTATAGAGGAAGTAGTTCCTGAATATTCTTCGCTAGTTAGCCCTCATCTGGAACACTGTGTCCAGTTCTGGGCACCAAGATTTAAGAAAGATGCAGAAAAATTAGACAGGGTCCAGAGGAGGGCAACAAAAGTGATCCAGGGTTTGGGAACACTGCCCTAGGAAGAGAGAGGGAACTGGGCATGTTCAGCCTTAAGCAGAGAAGACTGGGGGTGGGCATGGTATCACTCTGTAAGTACCTCACAAAGAGGATAGTCAAGATCTCATCTTGCTGCTACGAGAATGTAGGACACGGAATAAATCAATTCAAGTTGCAACAACCCAGATTCAGGCTGGACATCAGGAAAGGCTTCCTCACTGTCAAAACAATATGACAGTGGAACCAGCTGCCTGGAGATGGTGGGCTCTCGCACACTAGAGACATTCAGAAAGATACTGGACAGCCATCTGAGTGGGATGGTGTAATGTGGTGACCTGCAGCAGCAGGGGGTTGGACCCAATGGCCTTCGTGGCCCCTTCCAACTCTGCTATTCTATGATTCTATAAGGGCCCTAGCTCAGTGACAGGATATCATAGTTTGCACTCTCAACAGCCCAGGTGTAATGCTTGCTATCACACTGGAGAAAGAATGTAAGGTAGCAAGATAATCTCTCAACTCAGGTCCTTGGAGAGCAGACAGTGCTGGGCTAACAGACCTCTTTTCTGACCCAGCATAGGACAGCTTCACATACTTGAACTGAATTTTACAGCTAAGCTCTGCACAGAGTAAATTCTTTCACTTCCACTGTAACCTTCAATTAGACGAAAGCAGTTTGCAATTCACCCTTCAAGCTTTGGGTATGGTTATAGGGAAAGTTCATATTCAGCACAGGCAACTGCAGATGTAGGTGGTGAGAAAGGGAGAGTCAGTGTTAATATTTCTAAGAATTTATTTGGGAAAACAAGTGGAACTGCAGGGAGCAGTCACTGAATCAGGACTACAAAAAGGCTGCCTCCTACTTGTAGTTTAGGGCATTATAGCCTCATACATTGCTGCAAAGGGACTCTGCTTCCACTTGTGTTCAGAATACTTGAACTCTTGAATTAGGGAGGTGCAGCCAAGACCATGGGCTTGCGATGGTGGGACACAACTTCGCAACTAACAGCAACAACAAAAACCAAGTCAAGGCATCTAGGAAAACAACTAGGTGTTAGCGAAAGGCCCTTTGGAATGCTGTAAGAGAGGGTGCCCAGTGCAGGAAGGGCAAAAACTGTCCGACTAAGGTGAGCCACTGGGGCCATGCGGCTCTTACGCGGTCACTTGTCCTTCTGCCTAAGGAACTCTTTCCTCCCTTTGTCCCGGCCACCAAAAGTGCGGACTCTGTGGATGAGCTTCAGCTGCTGCTCGATGGTGGCCCTGATGTCCACATCGTCGGGGATATGGATGTAGCGCACGTTCCTTCCTGTCACGAAGAGGTCATCCAGCCTGGAAGCGTGGCCACGCCGGTCGGTGAACGTGGCCTCGGCCAGGCGGACGTTCATGAAGGCGTCGACGTTGGTGATACGGCCCCTGGCCGCGCTCTCGTCGCGCAGCTCCACCGTAGTGACGCGACCGTGCAGGCCCTGCAGCAGGATCACCAGGCTGTTCTCCGCGATGGTCCGTTCCTTGACGGAGTGGCTGACTTCCATGGTGCGGCAGCTGCCCGGCCAGCGCGCAACACCTCGCGCTGACGCCCGCCCGCGACCCCGAGGGTCTGTCCTGGGCCGGCTGAAAAGCCTCTTCGGAGCAACGGGGCAGGGCCCGCGCGAGCGAGCGAGATCTCGGGCTGCCGGCCGGGCTTCGGCGAGCCACGAATAGGCGGCGCTGAGCGTGAGCCGCCGAAGGGCTCGAAAGCCGCGGGACGGCGCAGGACTGCCACTCGCGGAAGACTCGGTGCTTCTGCCGCCCAGCCCGAGGTAGAGGAGCGCATGCGCAGGAGGCTCAGCTCCTCGTTCACCCATTTGACGCGCAGGCAGCCACCTCATTGGCCAGCAGTGGGCCAATGACTACCGAGTACTGAAAGCTGGCTTTCGATTGGCTCTCCTTTCTCGCCGCACGGCCCTCCCGCAGTGCTTCGCGGGATGCAGGGAATCGCTTCCGTCCCGCGCGCGCCAGCTTCTCCGGTGGCCTCCGAGGCGAATGCGGGGAGAGCGGAGCCTCATTTGAGCCATCTCCGCTTTATCTTGGGTCCAGAAGATACGGAAAAGCTCAGGAGCGAGGAGGCCGGCGCAGAGCGCGGAGGTTTGCAGGGCAGGCGGAGTGTGCCGAAGGGGCCCGTGACACGTGAAACAAAGAGGGTCTGATTTCTGGCTTTTATTGCTGCAGCTAAAAAGGATGTGGCAGTAACAACGTCACAATTGCCCTCCCCCGCCAGTGAAGGAATTCCTCTTTCTGTGCAAGAGGGGCTGAGTCAGGCAGCGCATTTTGTACCTCTAATGAGAAAGTCATCTAGGGCCCCTTTTTTGCATGGAGCAGCTGCAAGACAGGTCTTCGATGCCCACTTCCCTGACAGCAGTTTCAGCTCTAACTACACCAGGTGCAACCTACACCATTAACAGCACAAGAAATAAGCTGCTATTTGCATCCCCAAATATCTCCCCAAAGCTAGAGAGCTAGACGGATGGTTGCAAGGATCATCCCACCTTAACAACTCCACGACATCAGATGACCTTAGCAACCACTCTTTTGTGGGGACTGATTGCCAGCTCTGCCCAGTATTGCAACCACTGGGATTGCATGTTCCTTTGCACCCAGTGCAGTGCTCTCTGGAGACAAATATCACAGCTCATCCATCATTGCCAATAAGTCGGCCCCCTTACTGATCGTCTGTGTAGGCTGCTCTGGCACCTCAAACTCTCCCATGATGCGGGCCAGCTCTTCATTCCGTTGCTCATCCTGTGTAAAAGAATCACATCACTACAAGAAGCAACTCTGGGAAGAAAAATCAAAATTTGACAGAAACATGTTACCAATGAAATACAAAAACCTATTTTGGAATTAAAGCATTTTCTTTGTGGAAGCCATCTCTTATAAACCAAAGTAACTTCTGTTACCTAAGAAATTAGGGAAAAGCTGCAAAACCTAGTTTTGCAAGAGTTTCTCCAATAAAAATGTTCCCCCAGAGCTAAGAGTAAGATTTGAAAGACTGAATGTCACACAAAAGACTTCCTTCAATATTAACAGCAGCTCTGCTAACAGCAGGCAGCATTCCAGGGACTCAAACATCAAGTTTCTAGTTATGCAACACATAATTAACTTACACAATTCCCCACTGCACCATCTGGTGATGGGCACTGGCTGAGATGGCTTTAAAAGTGGATTAGATGAAGAAAGGAGATTAGTCTGTGAGTGGCGAGCCATCAGGATGGAATTCTTGTTCAGACTCCAGAATGCTGCTTCCTAGTGGCTGGTGCAAGCCAGCAGGAGAGGGCCTTTGCCCTTGTGTTCTGCTTGTGGGCTTCCTAAGTGGGCACTCTTGTAAACAGCAAACTGGAGTAAGATCTCAACTTCATCCAAAAAGTCCCTTTTTAGGTTATAGCAACAAAATGGTGGGTTTTCCCTGTGCAGTGTGAGCCTTGTCACCCTTTATGTAATTCTTGAATCAAAGATTCAGTAACACGATCAAGAGTTCTGTGAAACTCGAAAGCTTGCATGCCAATACCTCCAGCAACTGAACTTGTTCCAACTAAAAAAGGCTGCATTACCAATTGTGTGCTATTGGCAGACACTAACATGGCCACAAATGTTTGTACCAACATTTCATTTAATTAGTCAAGTTACTCTGTCCCTCAGTGGAATGTCATAGAGCAATGACAGCATACCTGGTCTGCGTGTATACTGATTACTTGATACGGTAACTCCTCCGGGTGGGTCAGTGCAGCGTGTCTTAAGGGAGAGAATAAAGGGTCACTATTGGGACCATTCAGTGTTTAGTGGAACCCTCAGCAGCTTCTGACAAACCCCTCTCGTTTACGGTTAGCCATTAACATGTAGTATGACCAATGGGCACTTCACCCTGAAGGCACCCACTGTGGAGGGAGGGCAATCACAGAAAGGCTTCAGGAAGGCAGAGACCTGTCACCCAAAGGCAGGCAAAAGCCCCCCACCCCCCGCTCCCTCACAAACCAAAACAGGCATATCGTACTCTTCCTCCTCATCTGTGGTGAAGAGATTCAGCCGGAAACCAGCCTCACTGCCAAGGGGTTTCTTGATTTCGAGGCCACCCATCAGCCTGGCCAACAAATTCAGCTCTTCTTTAGCTAGAGGGTTGGGAGTGCTGTTCTCCTGGATGAAAGAACAATGGGTCTGTCACATGAATAGGGAAGGAAAACCAGCACCATAAGAGCTCTGTTTGCACGGGTTCCTGCCTCCCAGGTGACCAGAAAGGGATCTGCTAGGTCTTTGACATTTTGACTGAAAGCAGCAATGTTCCAATGGATAGAGTAAGGACACGAAGAACATACACATTTAATAAAAAAAACCTCCCAGTGTAATTTGAGAAGCTGAAACCTATATAGGCCCAATTCATTTTCCCAGAAATGATCAGCTTCTCTAAGAAATAATGAAAAGAGAATGATACCTCTGCAGTATTAATTGCTGTGAAATATTTTTCTGCCATTCCACAAGGAAGCTCTTTTTACTGATGTTCCTACAATCTCTGTTTTTCACTATTTTATTGTGAATTTCACCAAAAGAAACCAATGTAATGAAGACAAAAAACAAAAACAGAAAAGAGAAACAAGATACCCTGAAATTAACAAGGACTGATGCATAAACATCAAGATAAAGGGATAAATGGCATGCATCAGTTGTACATAAGCTCCAACACAGGCTCTCACACTCTCCTGTCTAGAAATCACTGGAGCAAGATGTTTCTCTGCACCTCTAGGTCAAAGTTAAGCAAGCGCCTACACAGCTGTATACCTATCCTCCTATACAAGGGAAGGCTAGAAATAGAAAATGTAAATGAAAGAGATAAATACATTCCAGAGGATGATCTGTCTGAACTAAAGAGTATCCAGAGAGAAGGGCTTCTCACAATACTAAAAGGGTTCAGGATGCTCATCTGGAAACAAAGGGAACAGATGTTGTAAAGTGATTCTCAATACAGTGGTACTCAGGTTGGTAGAATAAGATTACTTGCCTTGACATGGCAAGCCAAACTTTTGGCGGCCCCAGACGTGTCTGTTTCTACAGGTCGGCTGATGCTGTATCTAGAGGCAATTGAGAAAGGTGAATGGGAGGCATAAAGTAAGGTTGCTCAGTGCCCCCAGCTGCAATGTGGTTTTGCATGGCTTCACTTACATGTTTGTTCCCAGTTTAATGATTCTGTCTCCACGAAGCTCAAATGAGCCTTCCCGGTGTGGTAGTATGTAATTTCCACCACTGGTGAACTCAGTCCTTCGAATTTCATCCCCTTTACTATTGAAAAGTCTGTAAATCACAACATGGAAACACTAATTTACACAAGAGTTGTCCTCTTGTATGGAAGGAAGAATTTAAAAAAACCTCTTCACTTTCTGATAGGACAGTTTGGAGAGTTTGTAGAGAGAGGATTCATTAAAGGAGCTCATTGGCCTGAACCGGCTCATGTGCATCTTTTCCCTAGTCACAAGAGCAGCTTTCCTCAGAGAAATGACTCATGGAAACATGGCCCTTAGCGGTTCTTCAGGTTGGGACACACAGCTAGGTACATCAGATGCATCAGAAAAGGCAGGGTTTAAGATTCACCTTATGAGCCCGGGAATCTCTGTTCCCCAAGGAACTGGACCTGAGATTGGAAGTACAAAATGGCCATTGGAATTCTGTACTTTGTCTTTTAGGAGGATGGAAACCTATGGAGGAACAACCAGAATACTGTATTAGTACAGTAGTTCCACCCAGAAAACATTTAAAGTATATTATCCCATTCTTTAGCCTAAAAGTAGGGTGGAGCTGCTTATAAATGCTCAGCAAAACAAGGCAGCTACTGCCTGCAGGAATGAGGAAGGGAGAGAAGGGGGTCTTCCTGCATTGCTAATGCAGGCAGCACTGTGTTCCCTATCGCCTTGCCCCACTGCAGCCTAGTGTGATGGCTGCTGGTGAAGACAACTGAGGCAGGGGGACCCTTTAAGGCAGGGGTCCTCAAACTTTTTCAACGGGGCCAGCTGAAAGGTGCAGGCAGTGGGCGTGGGCCGGCAAGGTGGTGCCGCCAGCGGATGCGTGCCAGCGAGGGGGCAGGCAATGCGCACGTGGTGAGGTGAAGCAAGGCGGGCGTGCCGAGGAAGTAGCTTGCTCGCTTGGAAACTGTTTTCTCCGAGCGAGTCCAAAACAATCTCTGTGTGAGCAAGTCGGTAGGCGTGGGCGTGGTGAGCCCAAAACCTCTGTGGCAGGCCAGAGAAATGGGCATGGTGGGCCGGATCCGGCCCAGGGGCCGTAGTCTGAAGACCCCTGCTTTAAGTGGAGGCTCTCAGCAGGGCTGTGGGAACTGTGCCCAGCTCTTCTATATTGTCGTGTAATGCCATGCAGCTTCACCATGGCTCCCTTTTCTTCTATCACAAGCTCCCTAACAAATGGATAAAATAAACCCACCCTGATGTGTATGTCCTGGAAAAAGATGAGCAATGTTTGCCGGATAAGCTGAAGTTCACCAGCAGAGAGAGAGCCGTATGTCTGGGAGAGAGAATGAAAACAACACAACTGACTATTGCTTCTACTTTTGGGTTTCTCATATTTATACAGACCATTTTAAGAAGACTAAGTCTCACAACTGTCAGTAGAAGATTGCTATTTCCATTTTGGTATCAGACAAATTACCCCAAAGATACTTTATGATTCTTTAGCTGCTGCTAGTATTTTACCTCTAACAGAATTCAAAACTGAAGTTTGGACCCAGATAAATAAAACATGTTTATTTTCTAATGTAGGATCCATTTCAAAAGTGCATTACTTTTTGAACATTTTAGAATATCAGTACCGTAACCCCAATGATCAAACGGCTTTGGATTATAGTTGATGGCTACCTTATTTTCGCCTTATACTTTTCTTTGGTACAATCTCCAGATTTATATGCCCTCCCGCCCCTTGAGATCGGCGGCAGAGGCCGTTCTCCGGGAACCCTCCATGAAGGATATTAGGAGGGTGAGTACCTGGAGGAGGGCTTTCTCTGTGGTGGCACCCAACCTATGGAATGCGCTCCCCAGAGAGGTCTGCCTGGCGCCGTCCTTATTTGCTTTTTGGAGCCAGGCCAAGACCTTTTTATTTAAACGCTATTTTAATTGTTAAGGTTTATTTATTGATTTTAAACTGACCAGGCTGTTTCCACTATTTTATGTATTCTATGTATTTTGTATTTATGTGCGGGATTTTAATTATTGTAAGCTGCCCCGAGGCTTATGCGAAGGGGGCAGCATATAAGCTGCCCAAACAAACAAACAAACAAACAAACAAATTTTACATTCTTTCATCATTTCCATTCTACTCCATGCAAAACCCTTTCCTTCCCTCCAATCAAATGTCAATTTTTTTGTCTTGGAATGCTACGCATACGCCATAGCTGCTTAAGCTACAAATTCCTTCTGTAATCTTACATCATGGTAAGGAGAAGGGGGACTGCCCACACAGCAGAAGAGCAGTGCAACAACTCGCTTCGTTTTTGGGTACTTTTTTGTATTCATACACAGTGCAGAACTGGGACTCTAGAGGATAAGACTGGCATTGTGAGGATAAGAATGAGAGAAGGAGAACTGCCTTGAGTTCCTTGAAAGGAAAAAAGGCAAGATACAAATATAATACATAGAAATAAATAAGTTGCACATAGACATACATGTATTTGAGTACTCTAAAGGGTATGATATGCTCTTACATCAAGGAGCCTCCGAAAAGTTACATCGACCTGGTTCAGAGTTTTGGGGGATTCATAGATGAAATCCTTGATTGCATCCAGGTGGTTGAATGTGACGAGCAGAAGGTCTTTGGGCCGAGGGCAAAGTAGAACTTGGCACTTGAAAGCCATAGTCATTAGATCATAGAGCTACAGAACAAGAGGAACCCAGTTAAACTGCAAAGCCCAGGCATGGGCTTACTCTGGACTTACCAAGCAGCTGCTTTGTCCAGTTGACCTCGTCTATATTCACGTGTCTTAGCTGAGCTTCCCTGCAGCTTGCCGAGGTCCTGGCCAACATTTATTCTGTCAAATGCGTGATTAAAAGGCAGGCAGTGCATTCTGCAATTCGCACCCAGGGAATAGCAACAAGGAACTGCATGCTTGTTTGCTTAAGAGACCTGATAGCTTCCATGGGGCACCCTTTCTTCTGTGGCTTGTTCTGCCAAGCCTTCTCTGACCTGGGGTGACCCAATGAATGGGTCTCCTCCAAAATGACCTGCCCTTCACAACCCTGTAAACCCATGGCTGCGGCATCCCTGATGGAATTGTTCAGTCTCATAGCTGGTCTTGCTCTTCTGCCTTCATTTCCCTAGCAGCACTGCCTAGCATTATTGTCTTCTCCAGTGAACAGGGGCCTTATATCAGTTAAATGAGTGCAATGAGATAATAAAAAGCAACTACACTAGGGAAATGCAGCCCGAAAGCAAAGGACCAAACACTGCAGCTTGGCAAGTCAAATGCTCGGCAAAAAAAAGGGCAGAAGCCAGCGATCTCCCAGGATAGGCACTTCCTTAATCTAGATGTTGTCACACCGGTTCTCCCCTGTATCCCATTCCAGCAGGCTTAAGGAGCAGAGGGAAGTCACTTTGTTGACACCCTTTTGAGAATGTTTGGACTAGGGCTTTAAGAACTGGTCAGGAGAGCAGTCCAGAAACTATTGGGAGGACCAATGCTCCAAGAGTGGCTTTTCTAATTGTGTGCCCCCACCTCCCCACAGCAGAACTTAGGACTCTCTGAAAGCCTGAATGCGAGTAGCATCCAATTATACGGTTCCTCCATAGTCATACGAGCACGAAGCAAGGGCATTGCATGAACACCTGAAGTCAGGACAACAGGGCTGTGTGTGCATCTGTGCCCACAAGGCTGTTCTTCCTTCACTTCCAAGACCCACTTCACTGCCTTGACTTTATCCTTGACATTGATGAGGAGCAACAAGCAAATGGACCCAGCTTATCTGAAGAGGTGTAGTAAGCAATGAACACAGCCAGTGAGATACATGGGGCACAGCAAGGAGGTAGCATGATGAATTTGCCCTACATGCAAGTTGGGATAGTTCAGCATGGCAGACAGCAGATAAGTATAAGGATGGTGAACTGCAGTGATTATTGCACATTTACACTGAACAATCAGGATTCCAGTGGTACCAACTCTTCACTGCGTGTCCAAGTTCAGCCCATATTCTGAGTGCTGTGGACGGTCACCTACTTCTAGGTGAGGCTATCATTTGATTTCTTAAAAGGGTTATCCGATGGGGAACTAGAAACAGCAGTTCTCACCTTATCCATGCTGGGTGCATTCAGTCTCATGATGGAGGCATGAACCAGTCGCTCAAACACGCTTCTCAAGGCCTTTCTGGAATACAGCTCCTGTGGCTTAAACAGCTCATCCACAAATTTTTTATTGAATATGCCCCCAATGATGTCATTCATAACTGAAAAGACAAAAGAAGCAAGCCTGGTGTGATTGAACTGGCTCTGCTTTAGCTTCAGAGGAAGTTATGCTGGTAGCTTGCAGAGGGGACGGAAACCTCCCGATGGTGGTGCTGGTTGCACCTCTTCTGGGACTCAGCCTGTCTTCACAAGCAGTGCACCGGTAGATGCTGCCCCATCAGGAGCAGCTGAGCAACCTGTAGACTATTTGTGGTTTGTTTAGCAGAACATGTGAATCAGAACTCACCTCCACAACAAGCCAGGGACATTACCCACATTATCTTTTACTTTGGCTTGTCAGGGGAGGACAAGCCAGAGTTCCTGGTTTGCAAAACACACACACAAAGGGTGGCAAGTCCACTGCTTGGCTGGCCACTGCCGATCAGGCAGCATGCCTGAGCCCAGGGTTCATACAGCAAACAAACCCTGGTCTCGTGGTGGGTGAATTTGGTCACCATCTCCTTGGTTTCTGCTCTCTTCCAGACCCCATCATCTCAAGGAGACTTGCACAGCCTTTTTTGCCTGTGATTCTGCTGGCATTGTTAGTGATGAACCACGTGGAAACATTTCCATATATTTGGAAGTGAGGTGTTTTAGAAACACAGAAACACCGTGAGTCAGAATGGGCCCCCTGGGCTAATTGGCCTGACCACCAGCTCATGCAATCCCCAACAGGGGCTTGTCTAATCTTTCCATGAACAGCCTCACTGTTGGGGCCTCCACCACCTCTCTCAGAAGCCCATTCCATGTAAGTACTCCCTGACATCCAATCTGAAGCTTGGTTCCTTGAGCTTTGCCCCACTGGAATGCATCCCGCCCTCTACTCTAGTGAAGAACAGGTCACAGCCCTCCTCCACAACATCCCCTCCCATACCTGTACATTCCTAAAAGACCCCTTTGGAGTCTCCTCTTTTCCGGGCTGAAAAGACCCAGTTCCCTCAGTCTCGCCTCATATGTTATCCTTCCCATTCTTGTGACCTGCGCTGAACTGATTCTAACCTAGCTATGTCTCTCTATAATGTGCAGCCCAGAACTGGACAATGCCTTTTGGATGCCTTTGTTGCCATTTCCGCTTTAAGAGAAGTCTGTCATCAGTACTTCCTCCTCCTCCAAGACGGCCACAAATAAAAAGTCAAATGTTTTCAAATTCCAAGAACATCCAATGACTTTTGTGGCCTATAGCTACACCTGTTCCTGTCTGGAGATGCCTATTAACAGCAGGTGCACAGTAGCAGAAGCTTTGCTGTCAGATTCATCCCTGCTGCTGTATTAGGGAGCAAGCAGCCCCCATGCTTGTCCTTCCCAGCAAGCAACACCATAAAGAACAAAAAAAGGCAAGTCATCATCTACATAGTAGGTTTCATGGAATATCTGATAACATTTGAATGTGGTCAGATAGGTGGCTAATTGACTGGTGAACTGATAATATTTGATCTGTCAGTTGACATGTCAACCCCCAGGTAATATTGTTTGTCAAACTGACCAGACCATCCAACAACAGTCTAATGAACTTCTTCATGATCTAGTCCGGCATAACTACACAATACTCTCCATCACCTCAGTTCCACAAACATAAAGAGATTGGAATGGATCTTCTGCTAACATCCCTCAATTGCTTGTGCATGGTTTGAATCGCAGTGCAAAAAGGCCTTATGCAGAGGGCTAAATTTATTACAGTACCTCGTCTCCTGTCCACATCAGTCCATGCATCTACATGAAGCATAAAACAGAAAAAATGATGGGTCAAGTAAGAAGAACACACAAACCAGTAGGCTGAAAGAGGGCAAATAAATGGAAAAGAATCCAAAAAACAAAAACAAAAAAACCCCTGATTTCATTGTTTCACATTGGCGCTCAGCACTTTGCCACACTGGCATTTCAGGGCAAAGCCTAGGGTTGTTTTCATATACTTTTCCAGAAACTGAGAGAATATTTACAATATATCATGTATGTAGGGTGGGAGCAATATTGCAGGCAATATAAACCTGATCGACGACATGTCTGTAACCACATTTCACAAACTGTGGGAGGAAAAACTGCATTTGCCATCAATAATTTTCAGGAAAAAGCAATGATCTCATAGCAACCTCACTTTAATGGAGCCTGCTCACCCCAATAAATGAGACACAATTCTATTAATCAATCCCCCCACCCAGCATAAAGATCTGCAGAGACATCCTCAGATCCATGCAGGTGTGTTACTGTGCTAGGGCATTTCTATCTTCCTGAGCAAATATAATCTGTACCAAATCATATTTTCCCTTATGTACACAACCAGAAAAATGTGAGGAGCATGCTTATTAGACCACTAAGAGAATTTAATACTTATTTCCTATTTTTCCACTGAAGAACCCACTTAATCTTCACAACAACAGTGAAAGGTTTGTTATGGCGCGGAAGAGTGGCTTGCCCTGCAAGGTGTAAGTGAAGTTAAACGTTGGTATTTTCTAGTGCCAGGTTTGTTTCAGCAGTTTGGAAGATAAGATTTCATTCAGTCTAATGAATGCCCAGTATTTGATGCTGGTGACTGGAAACTGAAATTCTTAAAAATAAAACAAAACTATACACTTTGGCACAACTAAGAATGAAATTTGGTGGAAGATCTTGCGGCAATTTGTCAATGCTACATGCAATCAAGTAATTTCTGTCTTATGGTGACTCTATGAACGTATCCCCACCCAGCCACATCCTGTCCTTGAACAGCCCTGATCGGCTTTTTTAAGCTCAAGGCTACGGCTTCTTTTATGGAATCCATCCACCTCATATTTGGATTCCTCTTTTCCTTCTGTCTTTGACTTTCCCTAGCACAATTGTTTTGCCCAGTGAATCTTGCCTTCTCATGATGTGCCTGAAAGTACAACAGCCCTGATAATAATAGGACCCAAGTTTCATATTTAATAGCATCATTTTATTATTGTATAAGATCTCCTGTTCAAATAGTATGTCATGATTTACATGGCTCTGTGAGTTACTCTCAGAAAAAAGCCAAACTGTTTACTGACAACTGATTTCTGTTCCTGAAAGATCAGATTAGAAGAAACTGTTTGTACAGGATACAAATCACTTGTATGCAAAAGCATGTTAAGAGCCAGCTAAGACCAAATACTGTAAGAAGTCTCAGAAACAAAGCTACCAACTACCTGTGATTCAGAATGCAGTAATTGGGTAGATAAGCAGCGATTTCTTTAGCTGCAAATGATCTGTTCAAACCAACAAGCAGGGAAAACTGCATTGCTACAGCAGAAAATAAACACAGTTCAGGACGCAACTTGTACGCAGGGAGGTGCAAGGCACAATCTTCCCACGTGGACATAGCAGGATCGCTTAGGAACGGGCTGCTTCCCTCCTCGTGGCCCATACACCCGTTCCCCAGTGCGCGAGCAGGCAGCCTCGGCCTCCAGCGGGCTATCCTGCGGCCCGCTCCGTTCAAATGACACCCACAGCGCTGCGCACCGCAACCTTCCCCAGCGGCCGGCCTGCAACCCCAAGCGTTACCGAGCCCGCTCGACGGCCACTAGGGCTGTGGCCAACGCGCGCGGGAGCCCCAGCCATGGCGCAGGCCCGGCTCGGGAAGGCGCCCATGCTGACAGCCCCCCGCCAGGAGGGCCCCGAACCATCAGCCGCCCAGAGCCCTCGCCAGGCTGCGCTCGGGCCGGGGCTCCCGCTCGGTCTCAGGCCGCCCCAGGGCGCCTGGTGCGTCATCGGGGCAGAGCCTTGCCCCCACGGCGAGGACGCGCCTGCGCGCGGGCAGGGAGGGCGGCGACGGCACAAGGGGAACTCGCGGGCCTCGGGAGGGGCCCTCCAGGCCTCTGCCCGCTCAAGCCGCAGGCGCAGCCCCTGGGCCCCCGAGCGGGCTCGCCGCGTTTCCTGTCCGGGGTCCCGGGCCGTCACGCGCAACGCGCGGGGAGGCGGGCGCGGGAGGGGCCCTCCCTGACCTTGGCGCGCCTTGTCTCCCGGGATGCTTTGCGCACGCAGCCGCTGGTCCACGATGTAGAGCATCTCCCCGCCCAAGTTGAGGACGAGCAGCGGCAGCGTCCGCAGCGACATGGCCGGGGAAGCCGTGCCCGGGCGGGCTCCGAGGCGAAGCTCCGGGGCCGGAGAGGGCGGCTGCTGAAGCGGCCTCGTTGCCAGGACAACCGTGCGGCAGAGCAGCCAATCCCAAGCTTGCAGGTTGCGTTTTACGCGGAAAGGCGGGGCTTCCTCGGGCTCCGCCTCTGGCGCAGCGTCAGGCGAGGCTGTGCGTGCCGGAGACGTCTTCTCGGCGCATGCGTAGCTGCCTGCGGCCCCTGAAAGACACGCACGGAGACGCGGTGGGCCGCCCGGTGCCCTGGCAACGCGCCGCGCTCTGACCGCAAAGGCCCCTTTGCACGGTACCCGGAGCACAGCGGGAGCCCTCGCTGCTGGGCGGGGCCGGCGCCGGCGCCACGGCTGCTCCCGGGGGGCCTCGCCGCCTTCCGCTCATGACCCGCGCGGCATAGCGCCGTCCTGCCAGGCAGCCCCGGGCCGCCGCCGCCGCGCCCCCCCGTGAATACGCCCAGCCCCCTTTTAACGCCAGTCTCACCGGGGCAGCACTGCATCTCGCGGGAGTGAGTGCCAAAGTGCGGGTGATAAACCGCTCCTTTCGCCATGCAGCTCCCCCGCGAATCAGCTTCATGAGGTGGCCCCGCGGGGCTCACGGCGGTATTCTAGGTAGGAAGCGGTTAGGCACTGAGTGCGAGAATCCCTTTAGACGTATGGCTGGAAGGGGTACTTAGAGTTCCTTGGATCGCAGTTTGCAATTTCTGCCCATGTGCAAGAAGTGCTTGCCTCCAAAATGCTGTTACCCCTTTTCAGTCAAGATTTTTATACCTTGGTTTTCCTTTTAAGACCGAGAACGGATGTGCACTTCTCGAGCCATGCGGCATAATTCACACCACCCGCAAAGACACATTGACAGTGCATCACTACAAACTGTGCCCTGTTATTAAAACCAAGAAAAAAATCGTGAGAGATGTTGCATTCAATTCTGGAATTCATGTTCACTCATACGCAGGCCCAGAACATTATGCAGATGTATTTGGAAAATAAAGGGAGATAGTATGCTGGGCAAGCCCAACGAGGAGGATGCATACAAGTTGCAAGTGCGAAGCTGTGCGAAGACACTAAGCTATCAACTGGAGTTCCTGGTCTGAATTTTACCTTCTAGGCAAGTCTCTCTCTTTCTGAGCAGAGAAATGATGACCTGTCTTACAGAGCTATAAATATCACAGGAAATGTATCACACTTTGCATGCTGTGTAGCACTAAATATTCGCAGCATTAAAATCAAATGCTTGAAGAAAGATGATGGGTTACTCCAAGTGTGAAAAGGGCTGCATGCAGTGCATTTGCTAAGATTTTTAGCTTTTGCCTTCCTCCAAGAAGCTTGGAATAGTTTGAGGCAAGCTGGCTTGAAAAATACCAATCTGCCCATAGCTATCCAAAGGCTTTTGTAATCAAGCAGGTTTGAACTTGGGCTGCTGCAGTGTTTTTGTGGGTGTGTTTCAGGTGGCCACTGGCTGCTGAGCGAGCTGCTGGTCCTACAGAGCTAGCACTTAGCTCACATGGCCCCCCAAAAGTTGGTGGGGATGAGGCAGCCAAATGGTATGGAACCAATTCTGCACCAGCTGCGCTGCATACAGGAATGCTTGCAAGCTTAATTCAAAGAACCCATTTCAATCTTTTAAAGCTTTAAATGGTTTGGGACCAAATTATTTGAAGGGTGGCTTTTTCCCATATCAGCCTGCTCACACTGTAAGATCAGCCACAGAGCTCTCCACTTTATCACCTTTCTGCTGCATTGCTCAGAGAACTTTGGCTATTAATTGTCAGCTAATCCATTAACTGTCAGGATCCTAATGTTTAGGATTAATTGTCAGGTAAACATTAAGCCAGCTTTCCCACACTATGCACGGGATGTTGGAACTGCTCAGGAAAACACAAGTTAGAGGATAACAGGTGAGAATGTTTTCTGAATGGTGGGGGAGAATCAAAATTACTCTGTGTCTAAATGCCATCACATGAATCTGTGGCTTCTTTTCATAAGAGCTGTTTGGTTCCCTGTGTTTCACCTACCACATATATCTCAACTTCCTCTGCAAGGTGACAAAGGGTTTAGTAATGCCATGACTTGCAGGGATGGGGCGGCTGAAAGACAATGGCTCTTTTGAAACAAAGCATGTGCCATATAATTCCATGGAAACACCATTAACTGTGGTGCTGTAAAATCAAGAGAAATCATGTTTGTTCCATTCTGCAATGGAGGGAAACTGGTACCGGGCTTGAAAAATTCTTTGCAGATGATATTCCTGGATGTTCAGAATTACGAGAACACAGGAGTTGCTTCACAGGGTTATGAATATGAAAGGGTATTGCAAAAGGTGTTGCAAAATACTTGTTCATCAGCAAGTCCTGTCAACAGGACTTGCGTACAGCATGTGGTGGGGCAGGGCAGGGAGAGATGGAAACAGACTGAGGCCTGCTGGTAAGTGCAGCCACTTTTACTCCCCTCCAAGCTCTGAAATAGTTTATGGAAGTAGGAGGAGAAGAGTCAGGCCATGCAAATAAGCCTGCCTCTTGTTTGGATGCTGCCTTTTCTTTGCTAGCAGTCCAAGCTGTTTCAGGCAGCAAGGAGATGGCCAGCAACTGATGCTCTCTAGCAGACCCAGCCTCATTCAGCAAGCACTTTCCTTCAGCAACTGCCCCTTGCCATCAAAAAGGGCTCTGAACACTGAACAAGGGTGGTCGAAACACTTTCTAGGTGCACATCTCATGTATTTCTTTAACTATCCCAGATCCTGCCACTTGGTGGAACCACATCTCCTGTGGTCACACACTACCCAGCACCACCGATGGCGAACAGTTACCGGAATGCCGTAAGAGAGCCGCATGTGAGTCCGTAAGGCTGTCATGCCACCAGGCACCATCCCGAGGAAACAGTGCTCTTCATATTTGTGTGAGATGTAGCAGCTCAGGATTGATGGGCAGCAAAGTCCAACACAGCCTGGCAAACACACACAAAGAAGCAGAGACATCACAAGGAAGAAGATGAGTGGAAACGGCCTCACAAGACGGCGGGTTGTGTGAAGATGAACCAACAGTTTTGCCTCTGGAAATAACTGAAGCAATAGCTCACCTGTCCAATGGGGTCCTAAAATACCACCCATGCTCACTGATCATGCCTAGATCAGATCCATCATGATAACGGGCGCAAGAGGACAGGTGTGCCTACATGCATACATGCCCCATGCTATTTCTTAAAAATTAAAAGCAGAATATTTGCCCTTTAAAATATGAAACTGAAAGAAAACAACGCTGTGTCTCTTGATTTGAAAGTAATATTGAATATAGTGTTAGGATTGTATAATGGAAGATTTACAGAAACGTAAGAGTCAGAACAGGTCTCCCAGACCATCTAGTCTGACCCTGGCTCTAGCTGGCTCCACTCATGAAATACCTACCATGTGCCTTTCCAGCCTATCCTTGAACACCCTCACCAGTGGGGCCTCAACCACCTCCCGTGGAAGCCCATTCCACACCCTCGGGGTCCTGACTGTCAGGAAGTGCTTCCTGGCATCCAAATGGAACCTGGGTTCCCTGAGCTTGGCTCTGTTGGAACATGTCCTGCCTTCCTCTGCAGGGGAAAACAGGTCTCTACCCACCTCTGCATGACACCCCTTCATGTGCCTGTATGTTGCCAACAGATCTCCTCAGAGATTTCTCCAGGCTGAAAAGACCCAGTTCCCTCTGTCTTGCCTCATACAGCTTCCCCCACCATCTGGCCACTGTCCTTATGGCTCTTCATTGCACCAATTCTAAACTGGCTATATTCTTCCTGTAATGTGGAGCTCAGAACTGCACACAGTACTCCAGTGACAGGCGCACCAGAGTCGTGTAGAGTGGTAGTAATACCTCCCTTGATCTAGAAGCCATGCTTCTGGCTATATAGCCAAGGGTGGCGTTGGCCTCTTGAGTGCGGCATCACACTGCTGACTCATGTTTAGCCTGCAGCCAACCAGCACCCCGAGGTCCCTTTCACTAGCGCTGCTCTACAACTACTTGTCCCCTAACCTGTACTTATGACACCCATTCCTATGCCCCAAGCGCACTGCTAGTTCTGTACATATGAAGAGGGTTTGGGGTGGGGCTCCATCTCCATACCCAGGTGAAGCTACTGCTGCAACTGAGAGGACATTCAAGAGCAACTTCTCAGCAGTTCAAAGGGGAAGACATAGTCTATATTTTGTTTGATAACAAACTGTTCCTGTGTTTGCAACTGTCTAAAGTATTTTCCCAAACTCAACAGCATTCTGTCCCCAAACAACCCCACCCCCCGCCCAAGTGCAGTCCTGCACCTAAACCCTTCCAAAGTAAAATGAAATTAGCTCTGAGGAGGAGTAGTACAGCTGTGCTCAGGACTTAGCAGCTGTTCAAATGGAAGCAAAGTGGGGCTCAAGGAACAAACCTCGAAGTGTGCAAGCCTGCACCACAGTGTCCCCACCTGCCCATCCATGGAGTTGCTCCACAAAGGGAGAACTTAGCCAGATATCTACTTACACATGGGCCAGTCTGAAAAGCAGTCGTACCTCCCAGAGCTCCAACTGCCTTCTGAGGACAGAGTAACCGGTGAAACTGTGCTAACTGGCTGGCACGTCACTGGCTGGGACATGGCTCGGCCTGAAATCACTGGCAACTCAGAGTAACCTTCAGAAGGCAAGTCCAAGTGGGAGTTGACACCGTTGCACAAGTTGTACAACAGCCAGTGCAGCAGTCCCTCAGAGGTCTTTCACAAAAGAGAACTGTCTTTGGTTCCCACTGGTTAGGCAACAGGCAGTAGCTTAGAAATGTGGAAACTCTGAGTGGGCCCTGGAAAGCCTGGTGAAGCTGGCCTGAAAACTGAGAATGTCCTTCAGGAGCGGCTTCATGTCTTATCAAACGGAGCTACACAAAAAAGCCCTCCGCCCCTACTTGGGAAACCCCCCTCCGCAGGCAACCCTTTGCCGGTCAAATTCTGTGACAGCCTTGTAGGTAGGGATGCTTAAGCGCTTGGACTACTTATGCAGAACAATGGAGCAATAAGGATGGAAGGTATTTTGAATGGCGGGGGAGAACCGTGCATCTGAACGCTCCTCCAAGTAAAGGCATGGTGCCCTTGAACGCAAGCCCAGCAGTGAGCTACTTGCCTATTCAACCACCCAGAAGTCAGCCAACTACTTCTCCTCCGTGTAGAGCAGACGCTAGACCAGGGTGGCCTGAGCTGCTGACCCTCTGTCTATTTTGGCCTCCAAGTCCTATCAGCCCTTGCCACTGGCTGTGCAGACGGGAACAGGCAGGGCGCATCAGGTGGCACCAAAGGCAGACTGCCCCTTCAGCGGCCCTGCAGAGAACAACTTCTCCAGTGGAGCTGGATGCATGGCTATGTTTGGCCTTTGGAGCTTGCGGCTCTTCCTGCATGTTTGCAACTACTTAAGAGAACTCCAGACAAAGCAGACTAAGCAAATCAGTGACCTGAAAAGGGGAGCTGCTGGGGCTCACGCCTTTCCAGGTGGTCTCCCCTTTCCTCTAACCACACACATTTTTGTCTGATACAGTAAATAAGTTCATGGGAATTTAATGCAGCCCTTGTTGGCAGCGCTGCAAATTCTTGTGAAATGAACGGGCAGATGCTTTGTGTTCTTATTCCCAGCTCCTTAGTCCCAGAAACAGATGGCCAGGTGCTTCTGTATGGGAACCACAGCTCTTTCCATAGGGTATCTGAGACAGGCATACACTCCCTGCCAGCATCATGGCCTGTTTTCAGCACAATCAAGTAAGCATCCCTGTTCCCATTTCCAAAGAAGCACCAAGGCACCCTGGGAAGTAGAGCCTGAAAGCAGGTACCACTTTGCAAAGTTCACATTCAGGAAACTTTCAACTGCAGCAGGCAGACTGTTCCACCCGTGAGTGTTTTACAACCATTGCTAAGCAGTCCCAGTGATGGTGGCCCCTGAAGAAGAAAAACAGTAGAAGATGGGATGTTCCCATAGATGCACCCACACTAAGAGGAATATGGATAGTTAAGCAATTTATTGGCGAGTGTCTTCCGAAGCTGTTGCTCAGCACCGCCTCCACTCTGGCACGAGACGTTCTCACGCGGGGGTCTCTCTGTTCTGCTTCTGGGCTGCTGTAGCTCTCCCTGCCCTAGATCTCCCCTGGCACTTCGGCCTCTGCTTCAGTTTCCCAGCGGCTTTTAGCTTCTGCACCTCCTGAAAGACCTGCAGGGTTAATGGAATAGAGAGACAGAAGGCAGCGAATGAGTCCTTTAGCGGCATAAGGCTACTGTATTTCTCACCAGAGATGGCCCGTTCTTTCCCACAGTGCTGCTGCTCCTGCATCGTACCACCATTTCCTATCTGGAGAACACCCGGCCACAGCCTGCCTGCTTCTCTTTGTTGACCCAGCTAGTTGCTAGTCTGCAATCAATCCTCATCTATTCTTGAGCAGGCAATCCTGTTTGTAGGGAAAAAGCATTTGAAAAATGTCTACTTTAGAAAAACATGCATGAAAAATGCCTATTTTAAAAAAGGCAGATCTGGGAAAAGATTGCATACTTTTGAACATATACATGATTGCACCAAAATCCATTATGATTTTCATTTAGAAGGAAAATCAGAGACTCATAAAATAGCAGAGCTGGAAGGGGCCATGAGGGCCATTGGGTCCAGCCCCCTGCTGTTGCAGGACACCAAGTTACACCATCCCACTCAGAGGACTCTCTAGTTTCTTTTTTAAACGTCCCCAGTGTGGAAGAGCGCACCACCTCTCCAGGCAGCTGGGCCCACTGCCGTATTGCTCTGACAGTGAGGAAGATTTTCCTGATGTCCAGCCGGAATCTGGGTTGTCGCAACTTGATTTTTGTCCTACACTCTGGTATCAGCAAGAAGTGAACTTGACCTTCCCCTTTGTGACAGCCATTGAGGTACTTACAGAGGGACATCATGCCCCCCTCCCCCCCGTCTCCTCAAGGGTGAACATGCCCAGTTCATGGATCATTTCTGTTGCCTTCCTCTGGACCTCTTCTAATTTTCCTGCATCTTTATTAAATCTTGGTGCCAAGAACTGGACACAACGTTCCAGATGAGGTCTGACTAGTGAGGTGTATACAGAAACTACTACTACTTGTGGTTTGGAAGTAATGTTTCTGTTAATGCATTCCAAAAAAGCATTTAACCTTTTGGCAACTGCATTGCATTGTTGGCTCCTGTTTAGCCTATCATCCACAATTACTCCAAGATCTTTTTCTTTTTCAGTTCTCTTGAGCCACATATTCCCCATCTTGTATCAATGCATTTGGTTTCTTTTTCCTAGGTGGAGAACTTGGCACTTGTCCTTACTGAATCTCATTTGGTTGCTTTCAACCCAGTGTTCAAGTTTATCAAGATTGTCCTGGATCTTCATTCTGTCTTCTAGGGTGTTTGCTATTCCACCCAGTTTTGTATCATCTGCA